TGGTGGCCGCCGTAGATCTCGCTCACCAGCCGCTTCATCTCCTCCAGGGAGTTGGTGAGCATGAGGATGTAGTTGCGTGCCAGCAGCAGCGTGGCGATCTTGGAGAGCTTGCGCACCGACGGGCCGTGCGCGTACGGCATGACCTCGCGCAGGCCGTCCATGGCGATGTTGAGGTCGTGCATGCGCTTGCGCTCGCGGCTGTTGATCTTGAGGCGCAGCTGCTGCAGCTCCGGCTCCGTCATCTGCTTCTTGTCCTTCTTGGTGGACGACGCGGCCGCCGACGACGTGGACGACGAGGTGCTGGACGACGATGACTTGAAGCCGCTGCTTCCCAGCTTGTCCCCAGGGTGCGCGCCCGCCGAGCCCATGGCGCCGCGCAGCTCGGCGCTCAGCTCCGGCGGGCAGTCGCTCGGCGTGGACGAGGACACGGTGCCCCCCGTGAAGCCGCCGCCGCCGCTGCCCTTGCTTCTGGCCGGCAGGAAAAGGTCATCGGGCTCTGGCGATGACGGGCGGCTGGACACCAGGCTGGCGTCCGAGTCCATGGCCCCGGAAGAGGATAATAGCAGCTTTCGCAGGGTCCTCCTTCCCTCGGCCCCCAGAACTTCCAGGGTAAGAGGAGAAAAGGAGAGAGAGACATAGAAGTAGAGAGAGAGAGAGAGAGAGAGAGAGAGAGAGAGAGAAACGGACAGTGTCGGTGAAACAGAAAAGCTGCTCCCGCCTGCACAGCAGCCCACGGTCCAGGCACAGGTGGCTGGTGACTTCGGGTCCCCATCACTGCCCTCTCTGGCCTTTCCCCTCGCTGCACGCAAATACCCATCCTTAATCGCCCTCTTGCCCTCCCCGCGGCCTCTCCTGTGCTCTCATCCAACAGGTTGTTTTATTTCAGGGAGCATCGGATGACCCTCAGGGAGGATGGCATCCTAAAGGTTTTGTGCCTTCGATTAGGAATGGGAAGGCTGGGCCTCCAGGCTGGAATAAACGAGTTGCCAGTGGGGGCTTTTTGGTCAGGGTGAAGACCTAAACAGGGAACTATTTACTTGGTTCCAGTGTTATTTGGTTCCACCGTATCTCCATCGACACCGCGCAGCAAACACACGCACACAAATACACCCGGCGCCGCCACGGGGCCCTGATTCCAGGGGCCACGGGGAGTTCGCCAGCTGGCTGGGACTTGGGTAGAAGGAGCTGTTGTCGCCCCGACTTCTCGCTTTGGGGCGTGGGGGATGCAGCGGTGAGTGTGGGATGGGCCGAGCCGCGGAGCCGCTCAGGAAAGCTGGCCGGCAGGGGAGGGATCCGCCCCCCCATCCGAGCATCCTGGGTCACAGCCGAGTTGGGGGGCGACTGTCCCTGGGCTCTAGATTGGGGCTGCTGGGGGCGGGGACACTTACTGTGGATGCGATTCGAGGAGCTCGCTCCGAAAAGCCTCAGAGGAGAACCTGGCACCGGGCGCTGGTGTCGCGTCGGTCTATAATAAGCATCCGCACCTTTCGGGGCTCGGCCGGTTTTTATAGCCCGTTGGCTGCGGCGACGGCGGCAGCGGTGGCCGGGGCGGGGGCGGGGAACAATGTGCTTGGCCTGGAGGGGCGGCCGCGCCAATGAGCTGGGCCCGCCCGGGGGGCTGGGAAGCTGATGTCATCCGGGCTAATTCCGCTCAATGAAACTCGCCGGGCCGGGCACACGCCTCCTCCCTGCGCACAACCAATGGGCGCCCGCGGCCGGGAGATTCTTGGGGAGGGACCGGAGGAGGGACCGGTGGCGGCAGAGCGAGAGGCGAGCCGAGGAGGAGCAGGCGGGGGCGGGCTCGCGGGGGACGGAGCGAGGGCCGAGAGCGCTCGGGGCCGGGGGAGAAAGGGAGCTTAGTTAAATTCCCACAAAAATGCGACCCCCGCTGAGTCCGGTTGGGCATGGGATGGGATGGGGATTCTGCCAACTAACCTGACACCTCACGCTGCCGCGTCTTTCGGGATGTGCGCGTATAACCCTGGCGGCCCAGGAGCCGAGGCCGACGTCTCCCCCCTAGTGTCCCCCCGGCGCCCCTCCCATTTCCCGCCGCCTGTTTCCATCTCCTGGGTTTCACCAACACGTGCGCATTTGGGGCCCCAAATGTGAAGGATACCAGGCACAAAGCCCTCACTTTCTTCGGGCTCTTAGCGCGCGTCGGGGAGGTGGCCACCGGCAGCGCAGCTCCGCGGGCGGCCGGGAGCGCCCCCCGCTGGGGGCAGGGCCTTGCGGGGCAGAAGACGGCAAGGGCCGAGGGACCGACTCCACCAAGGTGTTTTGAAAGAATAGCTCTTTATGAAGTTGAGGATGGTGCAGGGTCAGGGACGAGTTATTTCCGCACAGTCACCACGCTAACTCAAGGGCAGAGTCGTGTCTGGGGTCAAACGCCCCCTCTCCCCTTTATTGGCAGGGAGGGGAGGCCTGATGATAGTGTTTTCAACATCATCTTTGTGATCAGCATCACGCCGTGGAGTAGGGAGCAGCCCTTGTTGGTTTGCAAAGAGAAATCTCAGGTCTCGGGCCTAGGCAAAAGTTTCTTCGCGCTGTGGACCAAACAGCAAGATCAAATCACTTTCGACCGCATTCGGACACAATTTACTGATCGCCGCCTGGCTTTGAAACTCGGAAATTTGACCAGGAGGAATTAACCCCGTACGGGAGAAGCACCTGACTGAGGTAGTTCAGAGATACCTATGCATTCACCCGTTTTACAGATGGGAAAACCTAGAGACTGCAGCACGCCTGCAGAAAAATTGCTCAGCCTTTATAGCGGCAGCCCTGCGTGGACGACAGATGCCGGCGTTAGCGGGCCCCTGCGGTAGAGGGGTCTCCTGTCTATCCCACTCCTACTTTCACCCTGACCTGAATTTCTTTCCTCCATACATTTCGAATACAGAAATTTGTTTCTGCAGATCTCAGGTACACACATACTCGCGTGTCTCCCAGGGAGTGTTAAGATTCTCTGGTTATCTCTGTGGTTTGGGAATTTTAATGTGCACGTACGATTGTGAAAGCCAGCAAAGCAATAAACACAGTCACTGGCCTTCAAGTACCCGTTACAAAATAAACAAATACAAAAAAGGAACCCATTCTGTTGCCCCCAAGTTCCGGGGTGTCGCCCTCCAAGGTCTGCACTAGAAGTCCAGCCGGCTCTCGCCTTCGCCCCAGTCTCGTGCCTTCTGGAGCATAATTCTTCAGACCGCGTGTTTCCCAGCTGGCTCTGCAGCCATCCGTTAAATATGTATTTAAAACATGAAGAACTGAAGCGTGGTGATAGGTCGTCCAACGGTTACCAGGATGACCCATAATCGTTCAATTAGTAGAATCTGTCGCACGGGTCCACGCAGGGGTGGGGGCGGAGATCGGAAAGAAGAGACCACTCCCTTCGGCCTACCCCTGCCAGCCTCAGCGGGGACGTGTGGAGGTGTGCGCCCTGGGGCCACCGGCCGGGCGTGGAGTTGTGCGCCTGCGGGTGGCTCTGATAAACACCGGCGGGCGCAAAGTGCGCGCGCGCCCGGGTTGCGGCCGCGGTGGTTAGTCCGGTGCCGCCGGCACGTGTCCCGGAACCCGGGTTCCTCCTTTTGTTGCTTCCCACTGGGGTCTGGCCTGCGTCCGCAGGAGTGCGCGGTCTGAGGATCTTTACTCGCTGGGTCCAGTGGCTGGAGTTAGAGGCGGAGGTGAAAGCCGAGGGGCCCGTCCCGGCACGGCGCGAGCCTAGAGCCTGGAAGGCAGAGTCCAGAGGCAGGAGAGTTGGCTTGCTCGCCGCGTTCCTTCGTGACGCCCACAAGGACGTTCCAGGCCCTTAGCGCCGCGCCCCCGAGCCGAAGCAGCGGCGGCGGTTCTGGGGCGGATAAGTGGCAGCTCGCGGTCCGGAGCCCGGGCTGCTAGTTTCTCCTCCCGGCGGCCTCCGCACACCATCCTCCCTTCGCCAGAAGGTTGCTTGGGAGGTGGGGGCGATCTGTGTCCCCCTAGGCTCCTTTAGCCCGGAGCAAATCGGACGCTGAGCACTTTTCACGGGGTCGCCCGTACCTCCCCACCTCCCCGTCCCCAGGGATACTCGGACCCTACAGCCCGGCCGCGCGCGATTGCCCTCGTGCGTCCTGGGGGCGTCCCCAGCGCTTGTCTGGGTCCTGCGCCCGGCGTGAGCACCGTGGACTGGTCCCGGGTGCCGCGGTTCCCACCGGCGCGTGCGTCTGGGCCGCGGTCCTTCCGGGGCGTGGATCGCTCGCTCGCCGAGGCTCGTCGGCCCCGGCTCCGGGAGTTCCCGGCTGGCCCCGGAGTCCTGGAGCTGTTGGCCTCCTCTGTCGAAACGGAAGAAGTGTTTTTCCCTCTCCTTTGTGTTTCTCTTCCACAAAAGGCCGGGTGCGTGTCGGCCGGCCTCTGCTGGGCCGCCTGGCAGCGGAGCCTGTGCCAAGCGGGCTGGGCGGGCTCGCGCGGGACTCGGGCGCAGACCTCCGCCGCTTCCCATGTCCTTCCCCGGCCTTTCTTTCTGGTTCTCGCCCTTTCCTTCTCCGAGTTCCTGCTCACATTCAGGCGGTGTCTCGGCCCGGCTGCCAAGGAGAGCGACGTCCTTGTGCAGAGCTGACAGGGTGACGGTGGGAGGAAGGCTCTCGGCACCGAAAGGCAAGCAAAGCAACAAGCATTTCAGCCGTCGCTCCGGGTCCGGGAACCAGCTGGAATGAGGAATGGCAGCGTTTGGCGCCCAAACGTGGGCGACACGACCCCTCAGAAGCCAGAACTCTGCGAATAAACGGCGTGTCTTCTTTGCAAAACTCGGCTCCGGGAGCCGTCCGGGTTCACGCCGGTGTCCCGGACCCCAGCGCCTAGCACAGGTCCTGGTGTTTGGCAGGTGCTTGGTAAATGCTTCTGACGGCACACGCGTGCAAATGTGCACGTGGACTCGTGTGAAGTGTGGCTAGTAAAATATATGGAAATGTGGGTAAATGTGTGCTCTGCGTTTATTCCGCGTGCACAATAAACCGTGAGGTCTGTAATTTAGATTTTGGGGTGCATGGGAGACTTTAAATCCTGAAATTCCAGAATTTTTGGAGGCAGAAGTGAGAGGATTGCTTGAGCCCAGGAGTCTGAGACCACAACACAGTGAGACATCTCTACAAAAATATCCAAAAATTAGCTGGGTGTGATGGCATGTGCCTATAGCCCCAGCTACTGGGGAGACTAAGCCCAGGAGGTTGCATGTGTGGTGAGCTGTGATTGTGCCACTGCACTCCAGCCTGGGCGACAGAGTGAGACCCCAACGCAAAATAATAACAACAACAACTGTAACCACTTGAAGGTGACTTAAATTGTGCTAGGAATTTAGCATGTCTTGACAGACTTCATTTTATCTCATCTTTTACCGGCCCTAAGAGGGAGGTATTTATTACTTCCATTTTACAGATGGGGAAACTGACAGAGAGGTGTCAGTATTTGCCCAAGGTCTCAGGACCTGCTCTCTGGAACAGGTCCAGAGAGAAATCCCACCGTGCTGGGAGGTAGGGAGGAGTATGGATGTCAGAGACTTAGATGTCCAGCTGTCCCTCTTGACTTCAGGTTCTCATTCATAAAATGGGTGTCTATAAGCTTCCTGTGGCCTCTGAGGGTTTCTGCTGTGAAATTCAGAGGGCATGGGAAGGGCCGAATGACACCTGCCCCATGCAGTTTTTGTATTCTGCTACGAATCTGTTTGAGTGACTGTGAGGCACTGAGACTCTAGGACCATCTACACTGGCTCAGCTTGGGCTTGGGTGCCAGCAGAGACTGGGCCCAGGGAGGATTCCAGAGGCTGGACTGGAGCTTTCAGAGAGGGGTGTGATGCCGGGAGTAGTCAAAGGCAAACAAAGCAACCTAACAAACCCAAATTAAGAGCCCTCCACCCCCAGGCAACCCCTCCATGGTGGTCATGCTCCTGTCCAGGAAGCAGGCGCGACAGGCACCTGCCTTTAATGGTCAGCTCCTTGACATTAACCTGCCCCCCTCTCACCAGGTTCACAGTTCAGTAGACCTTGGGACAGGACTGAGGGAAGACTTGAACAAATTTTCTGGAGCTCAGCTTGTAAACCGTTATCTCATCCAAGCTTTGCAACAGCCCCTCTGGGGTTAGGAGGAAAATACTTTGTTCCCATTTTATGGATGACAATGCCGAAGACTGGAGATCAAGGTGGAAAAATCTCCCACCTAATGGATCCCAGGACTCCCCCCTCCTCCCCCATCCAGGAGACACTAGGCACACACTTGCTTTGACCAGCCCTGACCCAGGTGTCCCCTCACTGGAGGTCATTCATCCTGCCCCAAGATTAATCCTGAGGATGCAGGATCAGGGAGAACAAGTCGGGGAGCTCCTGGGAAGGAGGGCGGGAGAGTGTCCTTGGCCAACTGGAAGATCCTGAGGTGGGAGCACTCTTTTCAGTTATAAAGATCGCGGACCACCGTAGACCCTCTGTGGGAGGAGGCAGCGAGCATCTAGACTCTGCACAGGAGGGTTTCCAGGGGCAGGCCGAGATGGGGCGCTGTGACCCCCTGCGGGGTGGCAGGAAGGGGAGGGTTGTCGCCTGTGGAGAGGCG